TGCTCATTTGCAGCCCTTTGCACACTTGTGATGACATAATTATATATTTGTTTAAGGGCTTATCTGCTCCAATAGGACATCAGTGACCAGAGGGCAGGGATCCAAGTTTTGTGCAGTTTTGTGCAGTACTAAATGCTCAGCATGCAGCCCCATGTTGGCACTACTCGGGCTTCAATAAATATGCGCTGAGCAATAGGTGGATTAACCAATCAAGGCGTTGTGTAGTTGACTGGTTTTGAAAGAGTTTATTCCAAGCTAGTTTAAGGACATTTGAGACATGTATCTTAAAGCCATGTGACATTGCATTTTCAGCTGTATTACATAAATATTCCACAGGATCACATAATACAGGAAGCAATAAGTCTCTTTACTGTAATAGCTGGGATGAGGTTGCTGGGTGCTCCTGCACTGGCTACAGACACATCATTGAAGGGAATCCCCTTGCTGGTCAATTCACTGGCTATTTGCAAAGGATCAGCAAATGGGGGAAGGCGTCTAATGTTGAAGGTCCTCTCCTCTTCCTTATCCTTCCTTCCTTCCTTCCTTCCTTTAGAACCATGAGTGTTTATATAGGTGGGAATGGAGAGGAAGATCCAACAGACAGGATGAAACTAAAGACATTAGAGTAAGGATAAATGGGTACTAGCTTCCACACAGAACTGTATACAAAGAAACTCAGGCTGGAAACCAAATATAATTGTAAAGCAACTTTAAATCTCATTGTAGTGTCTTAAGAAAAATGCCAAAGGGGGAGTTACCTAAATTATTTACAAGAGAGCTTAAAATCCTATATTTTATTTCTCTTTCCCTTCTCCTGTCTGCTAAGGGGATTCTGTCTTTACCTGTTAGGTTCTCAAATTGTTTCACAGCAGCAGAATAAGGGAGAAAGGTATTTTATCTAATCAGCCAAAATAGTCTAACTCTGCCCTAAAGCCTTTCTTTTCCCTCCCTCCAAACTTTCTCCAACTCTTCCCTATGCCAGAATCTTCTGCTTCTTCTTGCTCTTCTCTTAAGAGGCTTCATTTCTCACTCGGGTGCAGTGGTGCGCACCTATAATCCCAGCAACTCAGGAGACTGGGGCAGGAGACTCATAAGTTTGAAGTCAGCCTGGGCAATTTGGTAAGACCCTGTCTCAAAACAAAAAATTAACAAAAGGGCTCAGGATATAGCTCAGAGGTAGAGCGCCACTGGGTTCAATCCCTAGTACCACCCTAAACTGGCTTCCTTTCTCAACTGCTTTCAACTGCCCATTCTATCCTAGGACAGTCAAATCACTCAAGGCTCAGTTGCTTTCAATCCTGCCTCTTGTTACTATTCTGATTCTGTCCAATAGTTAGAAGCCTCAAGGGATGACAGAATCCTCCTCTGCAATCAGGAAGAGGGAAGGAGACTGCATACTCATGCATTATTAATATTATTTTCCTGTCAAAGAGATCAACAATGTGGAAAGCACGGTGATACATTATCCACAGGGAATTATGAGAAAACAGAGCAGCGATGAGCCCACCTGATCTTAAAGGCTGATAAGGAGCCAACCAGAAAGCAAGGAGATGAGAAGGGCATTTCTGGCACAAGGAACAGCAGCAGCTAAGGTCTCAAGATGGGAAATAGCATGTGAGGCTGGAGGGGAAGGGACTTAGGACACAAGGGGAAGGGAGGAGAGAGCTCTTCCTTGTAGGACTATTAGGATGTAGATGAAGTAGATGAGAAATCTCTTGTTAGTAGGCCTTGGTCCTCTCATCAGGGTTATCTTGGGAGACACAGGAGGCTTCAGAAAAAATGAAGTATCGCTGCCTGGAGTTGCTAGATTCCAGTAAGATATGGCTAAGGATTCAGAGTTGCGAAAGGGTGCATTTAGAATGGGGGCATCAGCACCTGTGACTCGAGCAATTTGATTTACTGCTTCAGCAAA